GGGCGTGTGTGTGTGTGTGGGGGGGTGGGGGGATTATTCCTCAGTGAATCTGCCTCATGTTTGATTGTGCAAAGTGGGTTGTAAAGCAACATGTTTTATGACTAAATTAAATGTCTTTTTTTTTTTTTTAAACTGGTGCAAAAACAATTCTCATGCCTCCCTTTACTGAATAGACTTGGCGTGTCCAAATGCTTTTTGTGTCCATACCTTCCTTCCTCCTCTGCCGATGTTATGTCATGAAAAAAAAAAAAGGTGTCATGAAAAGTGTTCGGAGGGAGCACGTGTTGGGGCGGAAAGCAGCTTTAGTGGAGTGTGAGTGGGCTCGGGGATAGATAAATCCACCAGGAGGAGGATTTGAGTGGACACTTTCGGCGCGATGTCCTCTGCTCGCGTCTGTGTCGTTAAAACATGGACGTCTTCACGTCACTTTTCAGGAGAAGCAATTAGGGTTTTTTTTGGGGGGTGTGGGGACCATTATAGTTGCATCAAAAAGAGAGAGTGAGCAAGAGCACCATTGAGAGCCACAGTTTAGATTGCGTGGAGACTGACCAATATCTATTTGTGAAAATGTTATTCCGTTGGGACACAGGGAGGTTTCCGTCCAATGGGGACATCCCGTGTTGAAGACAGCAATGACAGAAACAAGGGGGTGGCTGGGGGGTGGGGAGTTAATATTCTTAATGCTGAGCTGTCAACATTATCTGTAATCTGACATCGCTCTGGCACACATTCCGACGTCGAACATGTACATGTGTTGCACTTTTTTTCTCGCACGGGTTTTTTGCTCATGTGCCACCACACTTGATATGTTCTGAACCGGCGTTCCCCAAAACTTAATGGTGCCACGGCGGCAATTGTACGTTAAAAAGAAAAATGAACAGCACACAGAAAAAATCTATGAATGGCAACATGTGGATACTGGATACACAGGTTCCCATTTTTTTTTTTGTCCTTGACCTTCCGCCATCTAACGGAAGAGCATTCTCAATTTCTCTGGCTTTCACGACATGTGTCACTGGTTTCGGTGTTTTTCCCCATGTAGCCTAACCACACAAAAATATCTTGTTCCGCCCTGTTTTTTTGCTATGGTCCATTCTGCCCCCTGTTCCGGCCCCTGTTTTGCAACGTTGTTCCACACGTTCAAATATGTTCCGGCCCGTGCGTGAGTATCTTTGGTCTGCCCCGATGTTTTGGTACAATAGGACACATGTTCTGCTCCGACGCATGTTTGGCCGTGTTCCGGTCCACGTTGTGAGCATTAATCTGACGGTGCATCCGTTGAGCCTCAGTGGAGTCATAATGCTGCTCTTAAACTGCTCCCATGCAGTAATCTGAAGCGCAGCTTTTACTGGCTGGAGCGCAATTGACTTTTCAGCATCCGTGCTCATCACCCCCCTCCCCATCCTCCCACCCCGCCTCCAGCTGATGAGCGTATTGGCATCTGCATCCTTCCGCCTCACTGACTTATTGAGGAGTTTGGAGCATCCTCGTGTGCAGCGGGTGAATTGTCATCGACTATTTTTCTCTTTCAAATGGACTCACGGATGTGATTCGGTTTCCAGCGACTCCCTCCTCCTCCTCCTCCTGCTCCTCCTCTTCTTTAGCTGGGCGGGATGTTCCTGTCCTCGTCCAGAAGCTCTGCGTTCTCGCCCTGGTCGTCCATGGAGCAGTCCGACTCTGAAGCGTTGGATATCAGCGCCAAGGTGCAGCTGCACGGCGTCCTGTGGAAGAGACCCTTCGGACGACCCTCGGCCAAGTGGTCCCGCAGGTCAGAACTTTCCGCAACTGTGATTGACATCCTTCATTCTTGTGCTGCTTCTCCACAAGCGATTCAATATACTTCAGAAACTGATCTCTCTAGAATCGGTGATTTGTTTGGTATCCGTTATGAAAGGCTTTCAGCCAATGCTCGCGCAACACATGTTTGTCATAATTGTCAGTCCGGCCAGAGTGTTGTCTGATGTAAACACAGCACGGTGGTGATGTAACCGCGAAGGCATCACGGCTTAAGTCAATTTGCAGCGTGCGCTACGCGATCGTTTCGGCGGGTGGTGAAGGTCGTGGCACCTATTTATTTATTTATTTATTGTCGATTTGCAGCATGCAGCCCTGCTAATTCAAGTGATTGAGTTGACAGGAAAAAAAAAGTCGTGAGCGTGGAATAAGACAAAACGATGTCGATATTCCTAAAAAAAAAAATTGTTCAGTAATGAATAAGGAAATAAAAAAAAATCATGTGTGATGGGAAGTTTGTAATTTTTTTTTCTAATGGAGGAAGGTAATATTACCTGATTTTATTTTTTTTTTGGGGGGGGGGATTGTCTTAAGACCTTAAAATAATATGCCCCCCGCTTCCTCAAACAGTCATCTTCCCAGATTAATTATTTGTTCGCTTATTTGGATTCTAAGCGATACAATGATGAAATCACTTGTTGGAAGAAGTCATAATATTGCAACAAAGTTCTATTTCTTATTGGAGGGTAATGATTATTATTTCAAGAAATTTAACCATCCGATCTTGTTCGCACTGCGGTTCAACAACTTTGGAATGTCTTATTTTTGTGAGTTACTGTATGACTATTTATTTATTTTTGTTACTCCATGTACAGCACTTTGTATGCCGCAATGGTTGTTATAAAATGCTCTAGGAATTGAGGTGAGGTTGAGTTAAGTGACGGATGCTCTGTCTCGCAAAAGATTCTTCGTGATCAAAGACAGCTTTTTGCTCTACTATGCCGAGAGCGAGAAGAGAAGCTTTGAGAGCAGCAGGATCTTCAACATCCACCCCAAGGTCAACCTCTGTCCCTCTGAGCGCCCCCATCCGGGGAGAAGTGCTTGCTCATGGTGTGTGTTTGTCGTCTCAGGGTGTGATCCCCCTGGGAGGATGCGTGGTGTCGGCCACGGAGGACATGGGCATGCCCTTTGGCCTCGTCATCACCCTGGAAGACTTCTCGGTGAACACTTTTTAATGACAACTTCAACAATAATGAATAATCCCAAACTACTATAACCCTGCGATGGGAAAAGGCATCATAGTGGAGTATAACATTGTCGTTTTAACCAGGGCACCGTCGTGGTAGCGGCTGAGTGTGAGGAAGAGCAGCTGCACTGGATGGAGATGCTCCAGGAGTCGGGCAAAGTGTAAGAAACTCCATTAAGTACTGTCGACGGCGGTGCCTTTTCGATCTGAGTTTAATTTGTTCTCGCACAACTCTTGTATCTCAAAACACTCATTTCCCAAATCGTCTTTCCCCATTGAAATGAATGGAAATGCCAATAATTTGTTCCCTGACAATTTTTTGGGGGGGCTTTCACTCAACGGTATGCTGTACACCTTGACCAACTGGCGGGCAGTGTTGTACAGTTTACAAATACACACGGGGACAGTAATATTTGTGGATTTTCCAAGAGGATAAAGACTATGTGACCCATCTTAGCAAAACGAGTCACTTTGATCCAGATTTCAAAAATGAGGTTTTGCCATAGTCAAAAAGTGGATGATGTCAACTTTCCATTGTGATACGCTACTAATTACATCATTACTCGTTTACATTATTACCACAGATTTCAGTTGGTAGATACCAAACGCCCCCTTAGGCTGGGTGCCTATTCATTTCGCTAATGTTGCTCCATGAAGCGAGCAGACCTTAAGCTTAAGATACGTGCTTGTTTTAAATACACAAGGTGTCATTCTTTTTTTTTTTCTTCTTCTTCTTTTTAGTTTCGTTTGAGAGTAACCTTCAACTGGGAGTGGCAATAAGCAGCTTGCTTGCACACCACTGTGCGTCATTTGGCATTTTCGATGACTGTGGGTGTTTTTTATCTACAGCACGTGGAAGAACGCTCAGCTCGGGGAGGCCATGATTGAAAGTCTGGAGGCTCAGGGGCTTCAGCTGGCCAAGGAGAAGCAGGAGTACCTAGGTCCTTTGTGTGTGTGTGTGTGTGTGTGTGTGTGTGTGTGTGTGTGTGTGTGTGTGTGTGTGGAAGTCCTTTCGAAGCATGTTGCGATCCAATGTGTTCCTCCTGCAGATAAGCTGATGGAGGAGACGGAGGAGCTCACCCACCAGCGAGCACAGAGAGAAGTCAGACTTTTGTTCTTAGCGAATCCTCTTTTGTGCAGCCATGTTTATGTTTGTGTGTAAATGTGTGTGGGGTTTTTTTTCGAATAGGAGCTGGAGCGTCTCAATCAGGTTCTGGAGGAAGAGAAGATGAAGTATGAGGAAGTAGTGATGGAGCTCAAGGCAGAGCAGGAGCAAATTAAACTGTAAGGAAGTAGCAGTGAGAGATTAGAAGACCCTGTGAAGTTTTAGTTAAAATTTTTCAGAGTTTTAATTTTCTTTCATTTTAGTTTTGGTTATATCAATAGTTCTTGTTAAATAACCTTGGTCTTTGCACACTCTGGTCAACCTCAGATAACGTTTAGATGTTCTAGTAGGCTTTTCTGGCCTCACTATTAATTCTGCTCGCGCGTGGATGTCCAGCATGACAAAAGTGGTCTTTTGCTTTCGGTCCTGACAGCGACCTGGACGGCACAACTCAGTCTCTTCAAGGTGTGGAGAGTGAGAAGGAGGAGCTGAGCGGCCTGACGGTCATGCTGCAGAAGTCCATCGAGGTACGTGACAACTTTATCGACAAGACTGACGTAACGCGTTACCCAACAACTCCGCCGTGACATCGCTGGTGTTCAGGATCAATGAGAACAAACGGTTGGGGGAAGGTTCCGAACCTCTCGAGTGTTTTGGCAGCAACTCTCCCAGGAGAAGCAGAGAACTCTGGAGCTATTGGAGGCCGAGGAGGTGGAGGAGGAGGAGGAGAAGGCGAATGATGATGATGAGGAGGAGGTGGTGGAGAACAGAAAGGAGCTGGGGAACATGGACCTCCTGCGGGATCTGCACCACATCGAGGAGCAGATGAAGCTGCTGCTGAAGGAGAAGGAGCAAGCAGACGAGAAGTAGGAGAGTTTATTCATTGGGATTTATTTAGTTTTTAGACAGTCATTAAAAAAAAAAAACTATTCTAAATAATAAATATCAAATGTAAAAAAAAAAAAAACTATTCTGAATAATAAATATCAAATGAAAAATTCTACATTCAATAGTTCATTCTATGAAGTACTTGGTTCATGGCTGATCATGAAATTACATATTAGCACGAATTATGATGTGATTCATTCAATGACTGTCCATGTCTTATGTTACCATATTTTGTTATTTTTGTTAACTGTTTTGTAAAGCGCATTATTTTAGCTCCAGCTGTTGTGAAAGCGCTATCTATATTTATAAAAAGATGTGTTATATTGTAAATAAGATCACAATGAAAAAGGTTTTACACATACAGTGTACAGATCTAGGAGGGTGGAATAAAGAGGCCGCTGCAAAGTGATTAGATTTGACTATTTCTAGGTTTTTTTTGAAGAAAATCATAAAAAAAATTCTACAAACTACTGAAAACATACATTCTCAATTCGAAATTTTAAAAAAAAGTGTAATTTCAATGTCTTTTTTGTCTATTTTTTTCAGGGCTGCATATTAATTCCAAAAAAAAGATTAATTATACCCAAAATATTACATTCAGTCGAAATATAATTCCCGGTATTTTACTTTATTATTATTATTATTATTATTATTATTTTTGTGTTGCCCCTCTGTCCACTCTCAAAATCAAATGTAGTCCTTAAACACAAATGTTCGCTTGCTCCTGCTCATAATTTACAACACGAAATGCTAATGCTAATGCTAAATTGAGTATCAGCTTCCAGACGGGTTTTATTGACCGGGAAGCACTCATCACCAGTTGATGTTTTTGTTGTGATGTATAGTGCAGGTGTGTAGAGAGGCCAGTAGGTGGAGCCAGAAGTCCACCTTACATGAGGCTCCTGTTCCAAACGCGCCTCTTTCATGCGGTCAACGTTGGCTTTAAACTCATTTTCAATGTCTTGGCGGGCCAGTGTTTTGATCTCACGATCCGAACTCGTGTTGACGTTTTTTTTTTTAGACTGCGTGAGAATCAGCAGCGGGCAGAAGTCCTGCAGCAGGAGCGAGAGTTTTACTCGTCGCAGGCCACGACGCTGCAGCAGTCGCTCTCTCAGCTTACCGCAGACAAGCGGCAAACCGAGGCCGAGCTGCAGGTAACACACACACACACACACACACACACACTCACACACACACACACACACACACACACTCACACACACACACACACACACACACACTCACACACACACACACACACACACACACAGGCTGTAGTATGGCCAAGTGCTGCTACTTTAAATGGTATGTTCTAGCTCAATAATAGTCATTTTCTATCCCGACACTGTATAGTATTCAGCGGCTTCTTCCCCATCAATTCAAATAAATAATTTAGGGGCCAGGGTGTCACTTTGTTGCATTTTTTTCCCCTATTTGGACCCAGGACCTGGTCCCTGTCTTAACTGTATTACTGTTAGTGACTTCTTCACCTTCGCCCTTAAACTCTTCACTATCAGGCGGAGATGGAGTCTCGCATGGAGCTGGAGAAGAGGCTGAAGCAGGCCGAGGAGGCCCTCCAAGACCTGGAGAAAGGCCTGGACTCGTTGGATCGCAGCAGCGAGCGTGACCAGAGAATGAGGGGCGACGTCACTCAGCTCAGGCGTGAGTTGAGTTCACATACGTCGACGTTGTGCGTCACGAACGCCTTCCTGACGTCACCGGGGCGTTTTCGGTCAGGCTTCTTCGAGGAGTGCATCTGCGCAGCCGAGATCGAAGCCAAGCTTCCGGCGATCATGAAGAACGCCGTCTACCTCCATAAGGCGGCGGCGCGCAGGATCAAGAGCTGCCGCGTCCAGAGGAGAGCCTCGAGACGACACTGGTGTAAGTCATACACTCGCTGTCGAGTTCTTGTTCAGGATGTGTCAACACACGTCATCAACACAACACACCCGTGGTAAATCCAAACGACATTAAAAGATTGGAGATGCGTGGGCGAATAAATTCTGTATGATGTAAATACAGTACATTGGTCCTAAATATGGTAAATATGTACTTGTTACAGTGGAGGTGCAAAGTCTGGTATGTGAAAGGTGCACAAATATGATCTAAATGGTACACTGAAGGGTACGCCTGGATACACTGGAGGTGCCTTGGACATTAAATGTATTTATGTTTTACCGGAGAGGCATCTGCAGGAGAGAGATGGTATGACAATTGGGAAATAAATATGGTTCACTGGAGCTGTATTAGACATTAAAGATGGAATTGAAGTAAACCTGTGGTGTGTCAGGTATTAAATTTTGGCAGACTGGAGGTGCGTCAACCATTAAATATCGTGCACTGGCGCTGCATTTGAGATTAAATATGTAACTGGTTCACCGCAGACACTGGAGGTGAGTCAGACGTGCATCAGACATGAACTATGTAAATATCGTACACTGGAGATGTGTCAGATGTTAAATTTGGCACGTTGAGATGCGTCATCTGTTAAATTTCCGGAGGTGTGTCGGCTGTTACTTTCTGTACACTGGAGGTGTGTTGGTTCAATTGTGTGCTGTCGTCTATTAAATATGTAAATGTGGTATATTAGAGATGTGTCTTGTCAGATGTTAAAGTTGTTTTTTTTCCTAAATTCCCAACACGCAGTCTAACACGCCTCTATGCAGGTTTTTTCGCAGCACTGCGTGCCAGATTTGCACCCGTCATGAAAATAGAGCCCTAAATGTATAAATGTGCTTCGCTGAAGATGTACCGGATGTTAAATTTGGCACACTGGAGGTGCGTCAGACATGTAAATATGGTACACAGGAGTTGTGTTGGCTGTTAAATTTGATCCATGCAAACATGGCCCGTTAAAGTTGCGTCATCCATGAATATATAAATGCGGTACATCGGTGGTGCGCCAATGTGAATGTGGTCCTCTCTTTCCCCAGTGAAACACTCCAAGTCATTTGCCACGGCGAGCCTCGACGGCGGCGTGGGCAGCAGTATGGAGGAGCTGAGGGAGACGGCGCGCCGCCTCACCTGCGACAGCAACTTCCGGCAGAGCGTCTACAAGATCATAGCGCGCAAGGACGTCGCCACCAGCTTTGACCAAGACTGACGCCGGACGGACTACTTGTCCGCGCGGAGGTAGACGTTAACCGCGTTTGTTAAGCAGCAAGGGAAATCACGCCTGTGAGATCAGAATGGAAACACCAAACATGGCCCAGGTTAGTATTAGGGTGCCATTATAGTTGATTATTGTAGTAGATACTCTCTTCTAATAAAACTTGGGGGTGCCAGGGCCCTTAGACGGTTATAAAAACTTTGGCCCCCCGACACTAGTTTCACCTATCGACACAAATTTGGGCGGACATGTCTCATCATGACAGCATGCACGAAAAAGTCTCAAGGAAAGCATGCCTGAAATTGAACAGGAAGTCGGCCATTTTGCTTTGAATCAGGCTTTTGGCGGGAAATTCCCAGGCTCGTACTTTTTTTTTTTGCTCCAAATTAGCCCAAATTGGAAACAGTTGTCCTACAATGGGTAATACTAAATTGCCTAAAAGCTTTTTTTTTTTTTTTTTTTAACCCCAGCGCCACCTAATGTGGTCATAACATGGATTATTTGTGATCATTTCAATGATGAATCCAAATGAATTTAGATTCAGTCTAAAAGTGATCATTATCGTAGTTTAAGGGTTCCTTGACTTCCCATTTCGCCGCCCGCAAAACAAACCCTATCTGCTGAAAATACGCAGTTACGCAGAGAGTGGGTTGGTAAAACAGCACAGCTTTTTTTGTGTGGTCACATGAAGCCTTAATTTGGGGCTTTATGTCACATAGTAACTTAACACCAAATGCTACTGTAATTTCCCCATGAATAATAAGCTCCATTATATATAATATACCGCCCCAAAATCTCCCTTCAAATGCCGCGTTTTTGCTGTACAATACGGTCCCGGCTGATATACTTTATCAGAGTGAATAAAATGAATGAAAAAAGATGAAAAATATACCAAGAAAGTGTAAATGCCTTTCAATCCAGGTTAAAAACGATGCTCTTTCCCTTTGCCTATGTACGATTAACGTCGCTCGAAGCATTTTTCAAAAGCATGTCTTGTTCTTGCACGCTACACTCTTAGTCATTTCCTCTTTCTTTCTGTACTCTACTTTTAAATGTCTTCAACTCTTTTGTTTGTAATTCCTTCTAAAATGTTGACATTTTAACGACTGTACATAAAGCACATTGAGTTTCCTTGTGTTTATGAAATCGAAATAAACCTGGCGAGGGCTCCATACTGCCCCGAAACGGTGGCAGCATAAAGCACATTGAGTTTCCTTGTGTTTATGAAATGCGCGATCTAAATAAGCCTGGTGAGGGCTCCGTACTGCCCCGAAACGGTGGCAATTTGACCCCCAAAATGTGAGACAATTCAGCGAGAATTTTCATCTCCTTGTGCCAGTGCAACCCAAACATTTGCAGATTTTTACCATCATTCCGATAATTCTTGAATATTTATCAGCACTACCAACAGCTCGTGGCCAATGCTAGCTGGCTAACATGGCTAACTAATGCACGACCAATATGTTCAGTGTAGACAGAGGATGTTGGGTTTCTAATATGGCTGTCATTATTGAGATGAGGCAAATCCATCGTCAAAGAAAAAAAACAAACCTTTATTCTGCTTTTGATTGTTTTCTTGCCATGACTGGTTTTGTTTTGAGTTGTAGCCACACCTGAATTAAACATGTGTACACAGGAATGGAGGAGGGCTTGGGAGGGTTGGAACACACACAAAAGAAATTTCCTTGACGCGAATAAAGTTTGTTTTTGAACCCTTGCACCTCCCCTCCCCAAAAAGTAAAAACATTTTAAATTTGTGCCGTTTCATGAGAGTTCTTCTTTGCCCCAGAGCGGCTCGGTTCATCATCTCATGGACCCGAAATGTCGCAGAGCATAACACTGTTAGCCGCTAATGCTAACATCCGCTAGGTGTCAACAGTTTCCACTTAATGAGTCGAAAACGGACTAAATAAGCATTAAAAAAAAGCGTTGTTAGCTTTGGTATCAAGGAATCCTTCTCGAGTATAGAAAACCCAACAATTTTTTTAATGACAGCTTTAACCAACAATGGAAATGTCAGTCGCCTAAGAATCCACATACTTTTTCCACCCTGCAATGTTAACATGTTGTGCCACTATTAGATGTTAACACGTTTGTTTTTTTCTTTGAACTGAACGTGGAGGGTGCAAAAAGTATGTGAAACTTCGGATAAAGGCTAATAACTTCTCCAAGAGCTCGTCATCTCAGTCCAATCAATTAGCCAAGAACGGAGGCGTCGATTAAAACTTTACAAAACAGCCAACCAGTTTTGTATTCTCAAGAAAGTGAAGCCTGTCTCGCACCGATAACCCTCAGAAAATGGTTCACATACTTTTCCTTGCAACTGCAAATCCCTTTCTCTGAGTTGATCACCGAAATTGGGATTCAAAAGTACATACGGAGTTGCTTCTCGGCAGTCCCAGAAGAAGTGGTTACCTGTAGCCCTGAGCTTGTGCGTGGCCCACAGAACATCCGAGGGAACGAGGAGGGCGTCTGGTGATTCGTCATCCGGCCTCTGGAGCATTATTTTCCAAAAGAATTGCTCCTTTTTTTTGGGCCCTGTCCTTTAATGTTCCGCTGCTCCCTGCGGGAGCTCTCCTTTAAGAGCCACAAAGAGGCACAAAAGAGGGATGGATGTAGTTTCTCATGATATGGAAGTGAAAACAAAAAAAAGGTTTTCGAGGGGCGAGGGGGAGAGTCAAAGCCCGGAAGGGACTGGTCCTATTTGTCATCCAGGCCGGCTTTGAGCTGAGCTTCCAGCGCCATCTTGTCAAAGGTGCGCCCGTTGGTCTCCTCGCGTACTTTGTCGCGCACGTGGAAGGAGGCGCGCGCCACGGAGCGAGCGCTCTCCAGCACGGCGCGCTTCTCCTTGAAGATCTGCTCGCTCTTCTCCAACTTGCGCTCGATGGACTGCAGCAGCTCGCGCCGCCGCTGCCGCTCCTCCTCCTCCACGCGTTGGCGGTTGAGGCGCTGCAGCCGCTCCTTCTCCCGCCGGTTCTGCACGGCCCGCTGGGCCTTCTCCTTGGCGCGTTCCTCAGCCGACAGCACCGCCTGTCGGGCCCGCTTGTCCGCCTCGCGGGCGCGGGCCTCCAGCTGCTTCTGCTGCTGCCGCTCCAGGTTTTCGGCGGCCCGGCGGGCTCGCTGGATCTGGTCCTCCTCTCGCTTGGCCTTCTCCCGCAGCTCTTGGCCTCGTCGTTCCACGATGTGCTCGTAGTTCTCCAGAGAGCGGTTGAGTTTCTCCTGCGCCGCCCGCTTGGCCTCCTCACACTCCTCCTGCTCGCGCCGGGTGATCTCCTGGATAAGGGCGGCGTGGCGCCGCCGCTCAGCCTTGTTCAGGCCCCGCCGCTCCTCCTGGGACTGATGCTCCTTCTCCTGCCGCTTGAGCTCGGCCATGGTGAGCTTCTCCCTCAGTAGCAGGCGTTCCTGCTCCAACACGGCTGCCCGTTCCTCCTCCAGGGCCTTGAGGTTCTGCTCCTGCAAGGACTTCTTGTGCTTCTCTTCGCGTGCCGCCTGCTGCAACTTGTGCAGGCGGTGGCGCTCCTGCCGCTCCGCGAGCTCGCGCCACTGCTTCTCGCTCTCCTCGGCTTGCCGCATCTTGGTGGCGGCCAACCGGCGCTCCTCGCGGCTGAGCCGCCGTTGCCGGGTGGACACCTGCGTCTGCCACAGCCGCTGGCCCTCCTGCACCGCCCGTTGCTTGTTGCGTTCATCCTGCTCCCGCCGGAGCTCCTCCATCCGCCGCTGGCTGTCCCACTGCAGGTGGGCCACGTAGCGGGTCTGGCTCATGATGTCCTCCTCCTGGTACCGGGCCAGCATCAGCGCCGCGATCTTGCGGTCGCGCTCCGACACGGCGTTCAGGCCCCGCCGCTTCACCTCCTTCACGATACGCTCCACCTTCTGCGTGGTTTGCGGCGAGTGGCTCAGGTCCCCCAGGCTGAGGCTGCGGCCCATCAGGGAGTTGAATGCGGCCAGCGTCCGAGTCCGAGGGCTGGACACTTTGGCCCAGTGGTCCCGCGGCCCGTCCCAGGTGTATGACGAGGCTCCGGACTCTGAGGAGGTGCAGGTGGTGGTGGTGGTATTGGAGGCGGAGGAGCAGACGGGCTCAGTCTTCCTCTGCAGGGACTCCAAGGAGTGACTTTTCGCCAGCACCTTGGGATGAAAGTGTCCATTGTGGTGCGAAAACAAACCTCCTCCCGCGGCGCCGTTCAGTTTTGACACCGATGGTGTCAATGTAGATTTGGCTCTGACGAAGACGGGAGCTTTCGGTGTCGGTCTGGGGTACGTGCTGGAAGGTTTGTTCCCGGAAGACTTGCGGAGTACCTTTAGAGGACCACTTGACTCCGCTCGCAGGATTTTACCAGAGGACTGCTTGGGACCTGTGGAACCGACTTTGGTTGGTTTGGATTGGAGCGAGGGTGCCGGTTTGGAAGCTGAAACCGAATCAGTCGCTGAGCTGGGGGTCTCTTGTGTCGGAGGCTGAGTGGGGACCTTGTGCTGCTCCAACGGCGACACGCAACTGTTGACCGCCGCCTGCATCACCCGTCGCTTCTCCTCCCTGACGATCCGCTCCCGCTCTTCCCTGCAATGGCGCAGCTTGGCGTGACGGTCCCGCTCGTAGACCTCGAAAAGACCCGTCGCCACCCTCATGGAGCGACCCGGTGCCTCGCGGGCAAAGTCGGAGAGCGGGCGGGACAGCAGTTCCACGGGTTTGACGCCGCAGCGGGCGCATGCCTCCAATGAGCGCGGGCTCGTCAACACGTAACGGCTGCCCTCGGCCGCCGGGCAGTCGAAGTTGTACAAATCCAGGTGGAGCTTGGGTGACAGGTCGCCTTCGGGTTCGAGAGGTGGAGGCAGCGGCGGCGGCGGTGGTGACTCCGCCGCCGGAGACGAGATGTGGCAGGGGCTTGGCTGGGAGCTGTTGGTAGGTGGCGTCTGGAAATCACAGACGTCGCTTCCCTCCTCTGTGATGGCGCCATCCGCCTGGTCTGGCAAGCGCTGTTCTCCGGGGACCACGCTTGAGGTGCCCAGTTGCGGGGCAATAGACTTAGAGGTCTGCTCCTCAGCCTCCGAGGGGTCCACCATCGTTTGCTAAGATGGAGGAACAGGAAGAGAATTCACTTAAGTGGTCAGTAGGGGGAGGGTTGCCTGCATGCATTCATGCTTGCATACACTCCAGTGATTTTTCTTTTTTTTTTTTTTTTAAACAGCAGATGAGACTTTCTGCCTCTAGGGAAGTGACATCACACACAAGCCTCTATCCTGTAACAAAAGCTCTATTTTTGGCCGATTTACTAGGCCAAGTGAATTATGAAAAAACATGTTTCACTCTCCCATAAACGAGACATGCCCCCCCCCGCCCCCTCCCAAAACAATTTAAACAGTATCCAGGTGTTTTAATACCATGTATACACTCTAAAAGCAATTGGGTAAGAAATAACCCAAATTTAGTCAAAAAGAGACTTTGGGGGGTTAAATAAATAAGCCTAATTTTGTGGCTTTTTTTTGGCAAAAACCAACCCAATTTTTCGCATTGTTTTGTGGATTATTCATTTGACCCAACTTTTTGGGTTAAATTAATAACTCAAAATGCAGTGAGTCCCTTTTTGACCCAAATTGGATGTCAAAAAAATAAATAATTAAAGATGGATTGTATTTTCACTGGTGGCAGCAGCACTTCATCACTAAATCCATCAATTTCCATGTCAATTAATGAAGAGGATCGGTGCATATGGCGCATGCAGTTTACTCATCACCAAACACGGCTGGTTCCCTTTAGATCACAAATAGCGCGAGTTCACTGTTGTCTGAGGCCTTCTGGTACGTGTTTTATGTTCATTAGTCAAATTATGATCCCACATATATTTTGGGAAATGGGCACTTGGCTAAAAATATACTTGAAGGGAGATTCCCAGAAGATAGGGACACGCGCCCAAAAGGTTTGTAATTGACTCTGGCGGCAAAGCACCACTTGCATCCAAATGAAACTCCTCAGTGACATAACGGAGAATATATTACATCTTGCATGAATGAATGAATAAATAATCCACAAGCGAATTCTGTGGTTGTAATATGTCCCCAATAGAGAAGGCCTTGCATCCTCTATGGATGATGTTACTAGAAACCTTCTACAATAAAATGAGGGCCTCGGACCCCCACCCACACTCCCACTGACAAAACATGAAGATGCAGAGGGCAGTACATTCTCATATTCCAAGTGAATATAATTCAAAAATATTTGCTGACCTGCCAGTCTGCAAAACGTCGCTTGAAGCGGTGATTTGTTCCTCTTTAATCCGTCCAGCGGGTTTCGATCCCCGCATAATAACATCAGCTGGCGGTCGGCCCTCTTCTCCCCCACCACCGCGGAGCGCCTCGCCGCCTCGCCATCTCGACAACCGGACGCGCAGGTGACTGCGGATCAGATCGATCGTTCCAGCAGAGGTTCCACTCCGAGCGAAAATATAACCCTCGCCAAATGTCTGCTTTTTCTACAATGATGTCCCGAGTTCTCGCTTGTGCCCAAGCATCCCCCCGCCGCTTCGCCTCAGCCTGCGTGGTGGCCCCGCCTCCTCTCATCGCAATATGCTCGCAAGAGTGACAGCAATATGGACCAATGACTGCGCGGCTGCTGCACGCTTTTAACCTGCGGCGCGCCTTGATGCGTGCCGCCGAGATTCTTCCAATCGAATCAGAGATCCTTCCAGAACATTATCTCTTGCTTCTATAAAAGTAAAAATAGTGTATCCTACTAGACCCTATTTAAATGCTTTTTTACAAATGATATGAATGGATGAAATTTCCATGTTGTCATTTCCATCATGCAAACGATCCTGATAGGCAGCAGTTGTCATCCACCGAGGATGAAAAAAAACAAAACACCAATGTGTAATACAGCTGATGGCCGCTAGAGAGAGGTAGAACGCTACGTTACGGTGTTCTGTTTCAGCAGCATAACGCGTAAATCAAACCATTAGAGAGTCCTCGCTTTGTTATCAATATGCTTACATTGATGTTGTTCCTAATGATGAAGTCGTTTTGCTGTTGGAAAAAAAAGATTCATCTAGTATCTCATCACTCGAGCTCCCACATTTAATGTTGCTTTCAGGGACTTAAGTTACAATTTCCATCTCCGTGTAGCTATAGTTGTTTTCGTTGTGCAAAGACGTTTAGTGTGACCAGTGATCCAGCTATGTCTCCAGTTACGTATGTCACTTATTGATCAACAACAGAGAGTATTTGTCATGTCTCGTCTTTCATTTTTAGTTCTCAGTTTTAGTCCCGTCTTTGGTGTTGTCATGTTAGTTTTTATATTGTTGTAGTTTCCTCTTGTTTCGGAAGCTTTACTTTGTGCCCCCGTGTTTCCTCAAGGTGGTAGTCTCTGCCTCTGGCCGACTCCCTGGTTAAAGTCTGCATCTCCACCTGTCCCTTGTCAGATCGTCTCCTATCTTGCCACGTCTTGAAACAGCCCAGGTTGCTAAACTTGACCTTTTTTCATGTTCCAGAGAGTCCCCGCCCCTTTTCTTGGCTTCCCAAGTGAGTATTTTCCTCCAGTTTATGCTGTGATCTTTTGTTGATACTTTTCTTGGATTCGTTTTTCCAGCATTGCTGTGATTTTTTTTTCTCGTTTGTCTACTCCTTTCTTTTGGTTATAATTACATCAAGTGATTTAAATTCTTTTTTTGGTGGGCGGACTATAAAAATGGCTTGAAATTCATTGATGTCCAAACTTATTTTTATTTTTGGGGTTGCGTGGAGCCTGGGGTTTATGTCTAAGTTTGTTATTGAAAGCAACCACTGTCAAGCAATCATTAAATAACATGAAAAAGGTCTAATACCTTTACACTTTAAGTTCTGGTGTGCTCGCCTTGGCCACCGGAGGCAGTAATGTATAGAAATGGTCATGTAAACACAGACGAAGAACAATTGACTTCTATAATTGAGTGCAATACTGTAAGTTTCTGTAAGAATTGTAAAGGATAAAGAATATATGGCTGTCAACCTGTCTACATGTGCGGGGGTGATTTTCATTTCATCAGTTGTGTTATGTTTGACTTTTGTGGAATCGTCAACATGGAAGATACGTACATTAGCCAAAAAAGGTTAGGAACTAATAGCCTAAAGCATTTTTAAACCACAACGATAACTGCTAACCGCAAGCATGTTGATGGTTAGTTTCCTTTAGATTATACTGTATGTTAGCATGAAACAACCAGGCCGTCCTGAATGGGGAAGTCAAAAATGTTCTTTTTGTGTGTAATGTGCCTCCTGATGTCTAAATATGGTATTTTGATTAATATTGTCTTTTTGGAATCAGAATTTAAGCGGAAAAATCCACCTGTTTTTATCGATGTCAGGAATGAGTTTTCCCCTTTACTGCCACTTGCTGTTGACTGAAAATGACATCATAGTGCTGCAGGGCTCAGCTTGTGAATGTCACATGACCGAACCCAGAAAATAGGTGAGGAAATGGCTTTACCCGGCAAAATAGCAGCGCCCGGATGAATAAAAACGGGTGGATTTTTCTCCTTAATTCATATTCCACCAAGGCATGATAATTCCGTGTTTTGTGTAATTCCGTGTGTTTTATGTTTCATTTGACAGTAAACTTCAACCGGGAGTCCCATGAAACAGCTTGAAGCCTCTTTGATTAAATATTCACTGCCAACATAGATACTGTAGCACTTGTCTATCTAATCTTTTATCTTTCTCATCTATGTAATCTCATCTAATATATCTGGTCTTTCTGCCAAACGATACTGTTTTTTCTTCTTCTTGCAGATGGTTACCAACAGCAAGCGCTTCTGCTGTCTTTGACAAGGAGACGCCGTATGTACAAAAAGTTCTTTTTTTTTTATTGTCACGTAGATAAATACTAAACATAAGAACAGTCATATAAATTAATCCGCGGTGTATTCTCCAGTGGGGGCTTGATGATGACCCACTAAACTTGTGACAAGCCGAGGGGAACCGTGTCACTTCAATTCAGTTTTATCAGCAACAGAGAACGTGATGGCTGGCTTTTTACCAGGGCTGAGTCGGGGTGTGTGGGGGTCAGGTCCAGTTTTGTTGTTGTTGTTGTTTTTGGAAGGCTGCACTGTCGAGTTCATGGAGAGGTGAACTCCATACCTAATTTAGCGACTAATCATAGCATTTGCACGGAGTAGTGGAGCGACCACAGTAACTACCCATTCATATCTGTGGGTGTACAGTACCAATAGACCCAAAAAATGGGTCATGTAAATGGCTGCTTCAAACCAATATGGCTGACTTCCTGTTGTTTTCTGCAACATGTCCACCTAATTCCATATCAGTCAGAGAAACCTTTTCGAACCATTTCAGGGGCTCCCACATCCCCGGTTTTACAGAGAATCTCCAAAATTACTAATGCCATGCTTTGCCTACACTCAATGATGTAGCCAAAGACGCGTTGCCAATCTGTCGAGGATACCTGCTTCCATTGGAGCTCATTTGAGCAAATTCCTGTGTCAAAGCTCATCAAAGTACAAGCCCCAAATGGCTCTTTAAAACAAAATGGCAGACTTCGTGTTCTATTTCTGGCATGCATCCTTGAAACTTTTTCGTGGGTCCTGTTATGACCAACATGTCCCCCAAATTTCATGTTCATCGGCGAAACTGTTGTCGAGGACTAATTTTTTTTCCTCAACATTTTCAGCGCTACAGAGTGAGTTTTAGGCCACAGTACGCACAAACCTGCAATAATTGGTGAATTTTCAGCCATTTAAATCTTTCCTTTATAGGAAGTCGGCAAGCACCAAAATTTTGTTCATTTTCGATCATCCTTGTCATGCAAAAAAACAGACAAAAAAAAAATACTAAAACGATGTAAAACAGTGTAACATTAATGCCGGGCCAGCAGGGGGCAATCTCAAATGTGTCAAGAAACAACTTTACCCTTAAATATACTTGGATAATCGGTCATCATGACATTTTTGTGAGATTTTCCCTCAAAGCAATGCTGTCACTAATTAGTAGAAAAGTGTCATTTTGAGGGAGGCCCTTTGAAAATTGCGATGTCTACTCGATTACGCCCTCCATTTTACTTCAAAACGAGCGCAGCCAGTGTCCGTTTTCAGTTACAGATTGGCCACCAAATACGGAGTGCAGGTGTTCAGCTTCACAAATGCAGCTTTTAAGCACTGAAAAGGGCCAGCGGGTCAACCTTTATTTACCCCCCCACCCATCACGCCTTTCACTCACCCCCCTGCCACCCCACTCGACCCGCACTCTTTGTTCCTGTAGATGTTTTCTACTTGTTGGCCGAGACGGTTCAGCAGCTTGTGGAAAATCCTCAGCTGAGGCCTTGTAATTAGAGCTATTGAGCTGCTGGAATTGGCACAATTAGGGTCAGCATGAATGATTGCAAGCAGCGGCAAGGTGGGTGCGGGGAATTTGGGGGGGGGCGGTAGGTCCACAGGGGGGACCGGGACAGCGGGGCAAGACAGTTTGGAAATCATTTAATGAGGAGAAAACTGAAAACCATCTGGAATTTTGGTTGTGGGGTGATGAAGACAAGAATCTTTTAATCTTCAGATGTTTCTTTTTCTCAGTCTGAACCTCTGCTATGCGAACCAAGTTCCCACCTGGTGCCGGTAAATTCCAGGAGGCGTGCAAGAAATGGGGGGTAAGACAGTTTGGAGATCATTTGGTGAAGTGAAAACAAAGAAACATCTGGATTGTTGGTTGTCAGATGGTAAAGACAAGAATCTTGAGTTTTCGGGATGCTTCCCTTCCTTGGTCGGGACTTTCCATTCCATCAAGATCCAGGTTGAGACTAATAAATTGGGTGTCGGACTGCGTGTCGTTTTTTTTTTTTTTTTTTTTTTTTTTGGATGAACTGACGGGGTGGCACGAGTGATTAGCGTGTCGACCTCACAGTGCAGAGGTACTGGGTTCAATTCCAGCCCCGGCCTTCCTGTGTGTTCATGTGTGGAGTTTGCATGTTCTCCCCGTGCCTACTTGGGTTTTCTCTGGGTAATCCGGTTTCCTCTCACTTTCCAAAAACATGCATGGCAGGCTTATTGGACACTCTAAAATTGTCCCAAGGTGTGAGTGTGAGCGTGGATGGTTGTTGGTATATGTGTGCCCTCTGATTGGTTGGCAACCGGTTCAGGGTGTCCCCCCGCCGACTGCCCAAAGACAGCTAGGATAATTGATATTCTTGTTTGAAGGATGGTGATGGTTAAGATTTGGTCTTGGGATGCTTCGCTTCCTCAATTCTAACCTTAGTGCCACCCAGTCCCCATTCGGTTCCAGAAGGATCCGGGTAGAGAACAAGAAAGGGGTGCAGGAATTTTACCGATGAACTCAAGACAGAACCCCATCTGGATTTTTGGTTGTTGGACAAGAAAGACGAGTATCCTTAGTCCAGGAATGCTTCCCTTCCTCGGTCCGAATCTCCCATCTGGTAACAGCACAGGGCCCAATTATGATGCTGCAGTGCAGTGATGTTCTGAGACATGAGGATGAGTGTGGGCCAACATGAGTGTCTGAAGGAATGTTAACGAGATCACCTGAAGTGATCCGCCGCCCCCCCACCATTCGCCGCCTGCCCTCCGCCCCCGCAGAGGTTGAAGTTTGCCGGGCGTAAAGCCATTGTAGGCAAAGCAACACTTCAGGCTCAAAACAAAGTGTGGCGCGGGAGGGGTAGCGGGAGGCGCGGGTGTGAACTATTGCACCAGCCAGCGTCAGCATACGGGCCTGCACCTGCGCTGCGCTATTCACTGCCATGTTTACACACTGTCAGCTACAATTAAAAGCCCCCGCCGGGTAGACGAGGGTGCCCGACCCTCGGCAGGGCCCCCTGCGCCCATACTGGGCCCTTATGGATGCCCAATTGAGCGTAGTGCTGGGTTGATTGAATTAACAGCTCCGTCTCGGCATGGGACCGCCAGGGTGGGTAAAAGGAGGAGGAGGGGGGGGTGTTGTTGGTGTTTGGAGAATGGGTCAAACTGGGGGGGGGGGGCATTTGTTGAAAGTGTCCAGCAAAGCTTTCTGTTGGCAAAGCAAAGCTGGAAATGTGAACTGGGGACAAGCAAAGGTCTCACTCTTCACAGGACCAGCCAGGCCCACAGATGACGCTGGAAGCCATCTTGGCATCTATACCCAACCTTTATCTTCAGCTGAGGCATGAACTGTATTTCACATTGGAAAAGTATCACGGCACGCCACCAACAATCGTGCATCCACAGGTTAATTTTTCCCCATCTCGCGGAAGAGAATTGCCTTATGCAAATTAGCCAAATGATGATGTCACGATACATTGTGGATAAGAGCCGGCTCACTAAAGATTTACTTGGGCATGCATTCCAGAGACCCAACTAATTATATGCAAGCGAATAAAAAGTTTGAAAAAAAAAACATGTCCCCTTTAAATTTCAAAACTGGTCAATTTGACCGGCAATGTTAAAAAAAAACACAGCAAATAAATCCCACATGGATGTGTGACACTTCATTGGCTCTGCAGTGCATTAACCCCCCCGCCCAAAAAAAAAAGTACCTGCGTGCGATCCAAAATGCTTTTTAAGCTATCGAGCCAAATAAACAGAGCATTTTAATGTCTCTTTTATTTATTTATATGTATAAAAAAAAAATCCCCCTGCAACCACAGTGCTGAGTCTCTCGCGTGGAGATTTTCTGTGTTTATGTCACACGATAGCCGACGTTTAAACAACAATCAGTTAAAAATGTCCATGATGGCCGAGGCTGACGTGTTTGCTCTTCAACTGCAAGAGAGACACTCGGAGCGGGCCTCTGCCAAGGTCCGACCAGCTGGGTCAGCACCAAATTGAACAACTTTACCGTTGCGGTTGTGTAGAGGAACACTTGAACATTAGACAGGGAGGTACATCTTTATATATGACACGATGCGGTGAGAGGTGTGTGCAGCTCACAATAAGTCAGTCGTATCAATATCTGCAAAATGAAAGCTTGCATAGTTACAATTTAGAGGATTAGTCCTGGCATTTCTCTTAGCCCTGTAACTGTTCTAAGTTCTATTTTGTTTTATGTGTTCTTTTTAAGTTGTAGTTTTCAAAGCTTACAATCTTAGTGTTTTATTTACATTCGTATGTGTTCTTTTTAAGTTGTAGTTTTCAAAGCTTATAACTATTCCATCTCAGTGTTTTATTTACATTCCGTATATACCCATTCATTTCATTTTATAAATTAAATGGGGATTATATAGCTCCAAAACGTGACCTTTTCGATTCTGCCGCACAAAATTTGTTATAAACTGCTGTTAATTAGCAGTATGATATTGCCAATGCTAAAATTGCTACCAATCTTATATCTGCTGTCAGCTTGTTCTGTACAAAACTTACGAATTTGTGTTTGGAACAGAAATATATTTTATATCTCCTTGAATTTTCTGGTACCGGCTAAATATTACACTAACCAAAATGTTAACATGAAGCGATGAAATCAAACAGATGTCAAATGTAGAATTTTACAATTTTTCCACGAATCTGTGATACTGACTGTAGGCGTGGCTTCGAACCAAACCGCCATCGTCCATTGGTCAAACGGGAACGTCAATCTTTCTCCCGGTTCCTTTTTTTTTCTCCAACGAAAGTAGGCATGAAAACTCGTGGGCGAGGAGAGAGAGAGGGAGAGAGTCAACCTGCGGATACAAGCGAGCACTCGTCACATTCAAGAGCTGTGGCGGCCACGGTCGTCCCGCGCGTGCCATTATTATGTGACTGCTGACGCGAGGAAGAAGAAGACGAAGAACAGATTTGAAACCCCCCGCCGCTGCCATGTTGTCTTCGCGCATCGTTGTTGTTTTTGTCGCGGCGACCTGTTGCTGTCACCTCATGGTTCCCGTGTTGCTTCTGTGCTACCTGCCTCACGTCCTCGCCGGTCACAACAAGCCGGCCAGCAGGGTGAGTCGCAACAGGTCAAATATGACATTCAAATTAGCTCACCCTGAAATTTCATGACTTTTCCTAAAGTGACCTAAACGGCACAAAAAAATATTCGCGTCCACTAAAATGGATTTCAGAATTTGTCAGGACGGTAGACCCCCCCGCATATTCGCGGTGCGGCACCCGCGGATTTAGCTCGGCCCGGTCCCCAAAACTCGTGAATAACGGAAAATGGGCGCAATGGTTAAACTCGACACTGTCCATTCCATAAATGTGTTATTTTCTGATGGTACAGTGGTAACAGTGCATAAAAGAGAACTTGAATGAGGGAATGAATGAACTTGAACCGTCTGTTTTTCCACCACATTAGCATAAGTTCCTGCTGAAGCGTGCACCTGTGAGGGTAACAAAAGTCCAAGTTATGTACACTGGCACTTTGAAATGAGTTTAATTCATCCACGCTTGTTTATAGAAACAAAAATGAACAGAAAGGTTGCACTCAACAGACACTGTACTCTATAAAAAACACAGTGCTGTCACTTTTTTAAATATACTATGTTTATTTTATTTATTCTTGTAGTGTGTGGGTAAGGTCGGTGCTTAAGAAGTGCAGTCTACATGTTTGCATATCACTGTTTGATGAAAAACAGATGAAGTGATGAAGCCACAGATTTGTTTGCATTATTGTTGTAATGTGATTTAGGACTTAGCGATTTATGCTTTTGCCACACTTAATTGGAAGAATTTTGTGATGTCATTCTGAACACAAGATTGCAAGTGACGGTGTTTAGTAAGTTAACAACTCTAATTGACGTAGATAAACTGTATTTGATATTAATTCAGAGGTCATTTGTCTTTATTTAGAATGAGTCTCAGCGATAAGACCAAAACATTGATAATGTGATTTAGTTTATTGCAATGCACATCAATTTACTGCTTCTTAGTTAAAAATTACAAGTGACAAATTCCCTGGAATCGCAATCGCAAGATTTGAAAAAAAAAATCATCATTAGTTTGTTTTTCCAAGTTGTTCAGCCAACCATCTTCATGATTGATTACCGCCACCAACTGCTACTATCGTTTCACTGCAAAAAATGGTGCGTGAATTGATAGTGGCCAATGTTGTGAAGTTAAATGCTGCCATCTAGCGCTGGGGGTCCGCAGTGCACTCATCTTAAAATTTTCCCGGAATCAAAAAGCAAAACAATCAGGCAAGCTGATATCACCAAAATTTGGAATTCAAGGTACTTGTATCTCAAGGCACCACTGTATGTGTTTTTTATGGGACAGTGGGAAACATGTGCACAGGGGAGTTTGAAACAGTGCCAAGAACTGTTTGTGATCCCGACCACTTTTGCACAGGTTCCCACAGAAATAGGGCTGAGCGAGTAATCAATTTAATTGAGATATGATGATTTTTTTTTTTTTTTTTACTACTTACTGAGTCCTCCTCTTTTGGACGACTGCTGAAGCATTTTGTTGAATAATCATGAGTGCTTATTGCGTCGAATTGTCAATGTAAGAGTTTAGAGCAATTTCACAACACATGATGAAAAAAAAATAAATTAGATTCGCTCGGGGGGGGTGCACGCCACGCTTGTGTAACAGACTCTCTATCCAGCGGCCTCCAAACATAACAGTAATGATAATATGATAATAGCCGTACAAGTTTGCTGATTAAGTTGCGGTTGGCGGTGAGTTTGGAAAATGAGAGAGGAAAAGCTGTTCAGGGCACTTGAAGGCAACATTTGTCTTTTGGATCATTCCCAAATAAAAGTGAAAGGCAACACTCTTCCCCTGTGATGCAATCGGTGCCCGGAATTTCCCCCCGAAGCGGGATAACGGGAAGTTTCAGAAAGGCTGAGTCGCTTCATTACTCTACAAGCTGCCGAGTGACGAGGTTATAGACGGTGCTGTCAAGTGACAGGACCAAATGAAGCAAAAGTGCAAACAAACAAGGCGGGGCTCCTGCCCGGCATGAGCGCATCGCATCATTTTTTGCGGCGGGGAGGAAAAAAATGCAGCAGTGACGATGTTTTATTGGCGTGCGCTAAATGGCAACAGGTGTTGGGAATGCAGGTACGCCTTGAGGGAAAGTCTGGCCCTGTGTCGAAATTTTGAGAGGAAGGATGACAACACCGCTCGACTTGGTTTTCTTTCCCGTAGGCAAATGATGTCAACACAAACGAGCTGGCCCAGGGTCAAATTGTTGCCGTCAGTAAGCCACAGACAATTTGAACATTATTAACTGTAAATACAAGTGTAAAAGTGAGTCTGTGGCTGGCGTTAAAAGATGATACAGTACAGTGGTACCTCTACTTAGGAAATTAATTGGTTCTGGAATGAATTTCTTAACTCGAAAATTTTGTAAGTAGAGACGCGTTTTCCATGTAAATGGGGGGGGGGGGCTTTTACGGGCCATTGGCAGATGTCCTGGATGCCGACTCCATCAGTGACCAATCACACATGAGTTCACCCTCGGAAAATGCCTTTTCATGCTCAATTGTCTGCCGTTCCAATCAGGATAATGAAAGCCAGATCTGACATTTGCCTTTTTCTTGACGCTGGAAGCTTCAGCGGGCTCTGCTCATTTCATGAGTGCTACGAATATATTTCTAATGTTTTATGATGAGCATTGCTCATTGCTGTCTTTGGAAATTCATTTGTACTTCATTTGTCACTTTTATGTTACTTTCACATGTTGACATTTACAATGTCTGCATAAACTATTTGCAACACTTCACCCAGCTTCCGCATGATGTGATATTATTCTATTTATGGACACTATGGAGGCAAAATAAATCATTTTAGAATCATTCTGTCATACAGCAAACTGGACTTTTTGGAAGTGCTGCTTTCTGTTGCACCCAATGGCCCAGTGACCCGGTGGAATATATCTGAGTGAGTTGACCGGAGGCTTTAGGCGAATATTCGGGCAGTAGGCGGGGGACACCCCTGAACCTGTCGCCAGCCAATCGCAGGGCACACAGAGACGAACAACCATCCGCGCTCACGCTCGCACGGACAATTTAGAGTGTTCCACAAACCTGCTATGCCTGGTTTTGGAATGTGGGAGGAAACCGGAGTACCCGCAGAAAACCCACGCAGGCCCGGGGGAGAACATGCAAACTCCACACAAGAAGGTCAGAGCCTGGATTTGAACCCTACACCTAACCAGTCGATCGCCGTGTCCTACCGGCGTGAATTTATTGATTTATTCATTTATTCTGATGTCAAGTTTTTGCCACCGCCAACTCGTCTGCAGAATCCTATGAGGGTTTTTTTTGGGTGTATGGAAAAGCCTTTTCAAGATGCATGGCTTTGGAGCCTACCATGTGGAACTTGAATGACTCATGTCTCTATATTCAGTGTGTTAAGTCAAGCAGTCACGTCACGTGTATTATTTCGCTGACTAACACTAACCTTGAAACCTTTCTTGAACGATTCAACCAAAACCTGCCAGCATCTGCCAGACAGTCTTCTTCTTTTTTTTTTTTTTTTTTTTTTTTAAAATCCCCATGAGCTTCAGGACAGTTCTGTGGGTGGCAGGACCGTATGACTAAGCTGCAATGCTTCTGTGGGAGACTATGGTTTATTTCTATTTAATATAAATGAAAGAAAATCAGATTTTAGATTAAATGGGTCTTTAAAAAAAAACATTAATGCTTGCGTAGGTAGAAGAAGGGCTGCGTCCATTAAAGTGCTGAGTCATGGGTGGTGGGGCGGTGCAGTCGGCGTGTGGGCAGGGGCCAGACTTTCTGGCTCGTAAGTAAACTGTAAATGGTCTTTCACCGGTAAAACGCTTTTCCACCTTCTCACAAACTGTCTTAATATCTCCTGACTCACCGACTGATGATGCAAGACCAACGGAGACTCTGGACCAAAAACACCACCCCGATTTTACTGTAAATTGACGACTGTGCAGTAGGGAGCGCTATTCTGGCTTCAGTCGCACCTTTCGCCATCGCCTTCCTATTTGAACAAACTCCGCAGTCAGCGGTATGCCAAAACCGACGTTTAACTTCTCTCAGGCATGGCCTTTGCTCCAAATATTTGTCACTTTCTGGCATTTTTCTGCACTTGTGACACACCGGCTAATTTAGACCAACGCTGCTGCGGCGGGAGACGGCTCCCGTCTTGATTGCCTTGCCAGGCAGTCTTTAACTTCTGTCCGCTGACAATCTTTGCTCAATGTCTTTCCCAGGAGTTGTTTCTGCTTTGGTTTTGTGGTTTTTCTTTCGGTCTAAAATCTGACATGTGGTCTTAAAGCTTAGACGTTGCCGGAGAGACTGACAGAGTTGTGGTTTGTGTGAGAGGTCACAGAGCAGGTGGACACTCACAAAAAAGGAAGAAAAAACCCCACGTAAAATGAATGTTTTTTTATTTGTCACTTGTGAATGTGAACAATGTTGCTTGTTAGAATAAACATATGCCTGCCACTAAGCCACACCCCCAAGATATAGGCTGGCCAATTAATGTGGAGTTTATATCTGACACTGATGCTTTGCTAAATTCACTGATAAATTATCCACAGTTGTCAAATAAGGGAGATTTTGTGTACCCATCATGATCAATGCAGACTCTGCCCAATTTTATGTGGTTGTTTTTTTCGTTAGTTGAGGGCTCCGGATAACATTTTCACCATGGCAAGAAATATGCTGTCGAAATGTTGAATATAAAAATTCTTCATCCTCGGGGTATTTTGATGATAGCTGGTCACAGACATGCTATTAAGACCACTGGGAATTAGTTTAAGTTGGGGGGGAAAAAAAGCAAAACTTCCATCCATTCGTTATCCCTGTTCTTGTTAATGTATATGATTTCAGTGGCTAATTGGCGACAGAGACAACCACTGCGGCGGCGCTTGCACGCGACCGCAGGCCAAGCCAGTGTGCGGCTCGGATGGACGGAGCTACGAGAACGGATGCGAGCTGCAGAGGGCGCGCTGCAAAGACAAGACGCTGACGCTGGCGCACCGCGGCCGCTGTCGAGGTGAGCACACGTCAATTGTTATGTGGATTTTACGATACAATATCCTCAGTCCGTCGGGCTGAGCTTTTCTGACTTTTATTTATTTATTTATTTATTTGCGGTGTGCTGGGTGATTTTTACAATGTAAAGTTTGATAAAAAAAAAAACTTTGGGGAAGCAATAACACAATGCTAAATCTTTATTCAGAAAAGATGGCTCTTAAAGGCCTCCTGGCCACCGGGGGGCAGTCATGTGCTAAGGGCCACATTTTGGCTTTCAGGAAGAAACTGGGCGAAAGTCGAGCAGTCAGCGGTGGCGCTCCCACCTACGCCGCCATCTCTGAGCGGGGACGCGGTGCAAACAGGTAAGCACTGTGCACAGAAGGATATTTTAAGCACAAATCAGAGGAAAGTCTTTTCTGGCAAAACATTGGTGATATATTTCATTAAATTCATTACATTTAAAAACAAAATAATAAAAAGTCACTACACAAATAAAGTAAAAAGCTAAAAAAAAAAAAAACACACCTTAGGGGAAAAAAATTGGAATGTTTTTGGGTTGTAAAAATCTAATTTTAACATTTGAGGATTGCAAAAGTGCCAGAACTCAGTGACAAATAAACTTGATATTTAAAAAAATTAAAAGATTGGAAACATATAAACAAAAGGAAACAATTCCTTGAGAAAGTGAACGAGGAGATGTCTTTGATTTTCCGCCTCTTAGCTGGCATGTAATTTTTCACAGACCTCCCATCATTCACTGGCTCAGCAGCCCAGATTGATCAGTGTGGAGTAAAAAGGTCGGAACTTGACATCTGCTTACCCGCCTGTCTCCCTACCCCGCACCCCCCACCGTGACCTTTAGGAAAACAGCACCTCGTACCAGATCCATTTTTGGTCAAGCGGCGTCGTCTTTCCCGACGGTAATAGGCAGTTTTGTTCCATAAAATCATGGGTGCGTGAAGGAACACTGGGCGGCTCTGCTTTGTTGCAGCTTTGATTAAAGTCGGCAGCTCACGGTCCGAACTGGATTTGGCTGCTTGGACACTTTTAAACATAATGCAACCAAAGAGGAAGTGGAAACAATACTCAAAGATGATTGATTTGGTTTTGGTTTTAGTTTGGTTTGGTGAATAACAGCTGTTTTCTGAGTTTGCTCATGTGACCTTTGCAAGCTGAGCCATGATTGGTCGTTACTTGAGCCCTGAGCAACTGTGATGTCATGTTAAGTCGACAACAACAAAAAAAACCCAAAACAAAATGGCCGCCCCCAAAGCTGGATAAAAACAGATTTTATTTTTTCTGCCCTATTTCATAGACGCAATATGAATGAGAATACCTTCTTTTGACGAGTGTGGCAGCGGAGAACATACTTTGTTTTATTGTAAAGAAAATGGTTGACTGGACTTCCCCTTTAAATAAAATATAGAATATTTGGTACAAGTGAAACGTGTGCCATGTTGAGTTCAAGAACTAAATGTTAACATTCTTCTTCTGTTTGAATTCTTCTTAGTAAGTCACATTGCTCTGATCAAGGCAACTACTGCCATCTGGTGGTGATTTATTGCAATGAAATCATTCCCACTGCCTCGACACAAACTGAGGAGGTGCGCGAAGCCCTTTATTGATATTTTTTTAGTAAAAAACACCCAAAACGTATTTGAATGATTGGGTTTTTGCAACCATATTTTTGCGCTTGTGCTTTAAATGAAAGGAAAAAGGAATCCGTTTTTGCACACTGTTTTCAACATGTTATACGTATGTTCTCTCATTTGGTTACAGATGAGGGTCAGTCCAAGTGTCGCGTGGAGAGGAGCCAGGCTTTGGGGCAAGCCCGGAGACCACAAGAATCCATGTTTGTTCCCGAATGCAACGAGGATGGCTCGTTTGCGCAGGTCTGCTATGATGATGATGATGGCGGCGATGACAACGTCCAAACAAAAGGGTCATTTCATAGACGTATCGTAACCGTGGCTTTGTGTGGTTGTACAGGTGCAGTGTCACACTCTGACAGGCTACTGCTGGTGCGTCACCACCGACGGAAAGCCAGTGAGCGGCTCCTCGGTGCACAACAGGACTCCGGTGTGTTCAGGTACTGCCGAAAATGAGTTTCGAGGTCGGGGGACTTATTTGTGTGTACCGGTTGGTCTTCAAACCTTCAAAAGAAACACATGAAGACAGATAATATCTCGACACAAACTGAGGAGGTGCGCGAAGCCCTTTATTGATTTTTTTTTTTTTTTAGTAAAAAACACCCAAAACGTATTTGAATGATTGGGTTTTTGCAACCATATTTTTGCGCTTGTGCTTTAAATGAAAGGAAAAAGGAATCCGTTTTTGCACACTGTTTTCAACATGTTATACGTATGTTCTCGCATTTGGTTACAGATGAGGGTCAGTCCAAGTGTCGCGTGGAGAGGAGCCAGGCTTTGGGGCAAGCCCGGAGGCCACAAGAATCCATGTTTGTTCCCGAATGCAACGAGGATGGCTCGTTTGCGCAGGTCTGCTATGATGATGATGATGGCGGCGATGACAACGTCCAAACAAAAGGGTCATTTCATAGACGTATCGTAACCGTGGCTTTGTGTGGTTGTACAGGTGCAGTGTCACACTCTGACAGGCTACTGCTGGTGCGTCACCACCGACGGAAAGCCAGTGAGCGGCTCCTCGGTGCACAACAGGACTCCGGTGTGTTCAGGTACTGCCGAAAATGAGTTTCGAGGTCGGGGGACTCATTTGTGTGTTCCGGTTGGTCTTTAAACCTTCAAAAGAAACACATGAAGACAGATAATACCACAATGCTCACAGGCATATATTCTTTATCCTCTAAAGAAATGACTAAAACGACAGCATCTTAATCACAGAAGTAGTATTGTACCGTCAAAGAAGAAGCACAATTCTTAGTTTGTGTCTACATGACTGCACGAAATTGTACTGCCTCCCAGTGGCTAAGGTGGGTACACCAGAAGGAGCAGCACAATGAAATGAATTGCATTAAATTATGATAAATATGAAATTCCCATGTAAAGTTTCCAGCTTGGCAAATTGACAGAAATTTGCAACCTATTTCTGTCAATAATCATTTTCAGCCCAATGAAGTTAGAAATTTCCCACGGCACACCTCATGAATGGCACGGTATACTGAATTTGTATTTTCCCCAAATTCCAACGCTGCGCAACTACAAGTCACTAACTTGGCTGCCGCGCTCTGCCCACCTTCGGTACTGCCGAAAATGAGTTTCGAGGTCGGGGGACTCATTTGTGTGTTCCGGTTGGTCTTTAAACCTTCAAAAGAAACACATGAAGACAGATAATACCACAATGCTCACAGGCATATATTCTTTATCCTCTAAAGAAATGACTAAAACGACAGCATCTTAATCACAGAAGTAGTATTGTACCGTCAAAGAAGAAGCACAATTCTTAGTTTGTGTCTACATGACTGCACGAAATTGTACTGCCTCCCAGTGGCTAAGGTGGGTACACCAGAAGGAGCAGCACAATGAAATGAGTTGCATTAAATTATGATAAATATGAAATTCCCATGTAAAGTTTCCAGCTTGGCAAATTGACAGAAATTTGCAACCTATTTCTGTAAATAATCATTTTCAGCCCAATGAATTGAAAATTCCCCACGGCACACCTCATGAATGGCACGGTATACTGAATTTGTATTTTCCCCAAATTCCAACGCTGCGCAACTACAAGTCACTAACTTGGCTGCCGCGCTCTGCCCACCTTCGATGACGAAACCCATTCTTCTCCAGTTGTCATCACCAGTCTGTCTGAACACTTTACATCCTTGCAAACTGTTGTTACAATATGGCTTTTATGTGCGCAATCTGCTTTTGACTGGCTGCAAAGTCACTTTGCATATATTTTGCGGAGGAACGTACAACGGTTTGGAAGATTTTCTTCAAAAGAAAAAGGCTTCCCTATCCTATTGTCCAGACATAGAAAGAATATGGGAGATTGTTGTCACATTTGGCAAATTGACAGAAATTTGCAACCTATTTCTGTAAATAATCATTTTCAGCCCAATGAATTGAAAATTCCCCACGGCACACCTCATGAATGGCACGGTATACTGAATTTGTGTTTTCCCCAAATTCCAATGCTGCGCAACTACGAGTCACTAACTTGGCTGCCGCGCTCTGCCCACCTTTGATGACGAAACCCATTCTTCTCCAGTTGTCATCACCAGTCTGTCTGAACACTTTACATCCTTGCAAACTGTTGTTACAAAATGGCTTTTATGTGCGCAAACTGCTTTTGACTGGCTGCAAAGTCACGCATATATTTTGCAGAGGAACGTACAAAGGTTTGGAAGATTTTCTTCAAAAGAAAAATCTTCCCTATCCTGTTGTCCAGACCGAAAGAATATGGGAGATTGTTGTCACGCGTAGGACACGGCCACTACTTGCCATAAATTCCAACTGCCCCCAACCCCGCCCCCTTTAATTTTGCTTTTGGCCTAATTTTGCAACCTTCCTGTCTGTTTTTCCTCTTGTCTATCCATCTATTTTAGAAGGACAGTCTTCAACAGGTTCCATATAAAATAAAGGAGATTGTTGTCAACATATCCAGTACTTGCCCAAAGTTACAAAAGCTCCTTTAATGTCACTGTTGCCCTCCTTTATCAGCCTCCCTGGTCAGCCAGTATTCCTCTCATTTTTTCATCTGTTTGACAGGAACTGAACACTTTACATCCTTGCAAACTGTTGTTACAAAATGGCTTTTATGTGCGCAAACTGCTTTTGACTGGCTGCAAAGTCACGCATATATTTTGCAGAGGAACGTACAAAGGTTTGGAAGATTTTCTTCAAAAGAAAAATCTTCCCTATCCTGTTGTCCAGACCGAAAGAATATGGGAGATTGTTGTCACATGTAGGACACGGCCACTACTTGCCATAAATTCCAACTGCCCCCAACCCCGCCCCCTTTAATTTTGCTTTTGGCCTAATTTTGCAACCTTCCTGTCTGTTTTTCCTCTTGTCTATCCATCTATTTTAGAAGGACAGTCTTCAACAGGTTCCATATAAAATAAAGGAGATTGTTGTCAACATATCCAGTACTTGCCCAAAGTTACAAAAGCTCCTTTAATGTCACTGTTGCCCTCCTTTATCAGCCTCCCTGGTCAGCCAGTATTCCTCTCATTTTTTCATCTGTTTGACAGGAAGTACTGCCTTCACAGTGTTCCATGAAGCATACTGGAGATTGTTGTCACATGTAGGAAATACGCAGGACTTGCCAGAAATTACAGCAGTACCATTAATGTCACTTTAGGGATTTTGTGCATCCTCCTTGACCAGTTTTCATCCATTTTAGAGAGCCTCTCTTTCTGTTGTCACACATTGGACACAACCAGTACTTGCCAGAAGTTTCAAAAGCTTCTTCTTCTCTTTAGTAACTTCAGTGACCTGTTTCCATGAAGAACATGGGTGATTGTTGTCCAGTGTGGGAAATGGCTGGTATTGGCAGAAATTCCCACAGTTCCTTTGTCACCCAAAGCCTCTTTAAGTGCGGTCATTGATCAGTTTTCTTCCCATCTTTTCATCTATCTTAGAGGGGACTGTCTTCACTGTGTTTTATGAATCTTGCCCAAAGTTACAAAAGCTCCTTTAATGTCACTATTGCCCTCCTTTATCAGCCTCCCTGGTCAGTATTCCTCTCATCTTTTCATCTGTTTGACACGAGGTACTGCCTTCACAGTGTTCCATGAAGCATACTGGAGATTGTTGTCACATATAGGACACACGCAGGAGTTGCCAGAAATTACAGCAGTACCATTGTCACTTTAGGGATTTTGTGCAGCCTCCTTGACCAGTTTTCATCCATTTTAGAGAGCCTCTCTTTCTGTTGTCACACATTGGACACAACCAGTACTTGCCAGAAGTTTCAAAAGCTTCTTCTTCTCTTTAGTAACTTCAGTGACCTGTTTCCATGAAGAACATGGGTGATTGTTGTCCAGTGTGGGAAATGGCTGGTATTGGCAGAAATTCCCACAGTTCCTATGTCACCCAAAGCCTCTTTAAGTGCGGTCATTGACCAGTTTTCTTCCCATCTTTTCATCTATCTTAGCGGGGACTCTCTTCACTGTGTTTTATGAAGAAAATGGGAGATTGTTGTCCCATGTAGGATCGAGCCAGTACTTGCCCGAAGTTGCCACAACCTATTTAATGTCAGCCTCATTTTGTAGCCTCTCTGACCAGCTTTCATCCATAAGGGAGGAACTTTCTTCACTGTATTCCAAGAAGAACATGGGAGATTGTTGTCCCCTGTAGGACAAAGTCAGTAGTTGACATCACATTGGTCGCTCTTTGAATGGTTTTCCTCTCGTCTTTTCATCCTTTATGGAGGAAGTGTCTTCAGCGTGTTTTCTGAAGAATATGGGAGATTGTTGTCCCATGTAGGGCAGTCTAGTACTGCGGAAACGAGACTTTACTGGCAACCGTTCTTCATGTTTTCCTCCAGCCGGCGAATGACATTCACCGACACACACATCATGTGACAGGCATCAATCATGTGCCGTATACATTCGCAGGAAACTTCCATGAGTTTTTGGGAACACACGCCGGGACGAGCGCATTGACAGGTAGTACATCTTACGATCCAAATCGCAACAGCTCATCGTTTTTTCCGCCCTTTTATTTTTTTCTTCTTTTTACTCTGCTCTTTGCATCCGCGAAGCATGTCGCCACCTGCATGACCTGGACCACAAACTCTCGATTTGATTTTCAATGCATCGCAATTTCAGGTTTTTCCATTCGGCCAACATGGTGATCGGACGCTTCTTCAAAGCTTGGGTTGTAATGCAAAAAAAAAAAATCACACTTCGGTACATACAGAATGACCCTCAGTGATCGATAGATATTCCAGACGTTCAATAAAATTCAATTTTAGTATTTAATGAAATGTATCATGCTTCGATCTGTTTATTTTTAATTTAATTTAATTTTATTTTTTGCTGCAACGTCAACTTTTCAGTGACATGTTTGAGCTTTTGTCATGAGTCACATTATTACAAACAATAAAAGGTTACTAAATGCCGATAGATACTGCGAGATGGTTGAGAAAACACAACTTCAGTTGATATTAAGCCCCTCACCTCAGTTCAACGTAGTTACTTATCTACAGGATGACAAAAGATTGCCCCTAAATTATAACTTTAGTTCCAGAATTAACCACACGTCAGTATCTCCCCCCCCAAACACAGACAGGCTAAGTTTGGATAAAGTTTTAAAACTGAAAGCAGTTTTCAAGTTTTTTTGTCAATGAATTAATTTTTGGCCCGTCCTTGACTTAGACGGCTAATTTCCCCCAATTAGCCTGTTCAATAAAGGGTTTCACTGTATGTACCGTACCAAATAAAATAGGAATACAGGTTCCCTTATACTCCTCTCCTAAACTCAATTGTGCAGCACTCACAGAATGTTCTTGTAAACCATTCGAGTCGTTACGTTTGCTTGTAGCCCGTTTGAGCTCGGATCAATCCATCCTGACCGCGAAAGGGCTCCAAACACTCCGGATTATTTGCAGGAATGTCGTCGTCGTCGCTGCCGCTGTTTTCTGCTTTGTACACATCTGCGTTTTCGCTCCGCAGGGTCCGTGACCGACAGACCTCCTGGGCCGGCAAACTCCGGGCGAAAAGGTGAGCTGCACTCGAAATGTTTCATTTGGTTATCTGCAGATGTGGTCAAATGACCAAAATGAAGTGATAGCCTTTTTCTTAATGCGTCAGTTCGCTGGTCTGAGATATGCTCTGGAAGCAGTGCATGAGTGTGTTGACACCTTATTTGATTTAAGGGCCTTATATTTTTCTTTTAAAAAAATCGAGAGTGTATAAAGTAAATCCAGTGCAGGTTGTCTGTGCTTTGCTTTTAACTCAATTGCTTCCAAAAGGAATGTTCCAGATGCTCCAAAGCTGCACGTGGGTGAGTATTTTCCGGGGGGCGTTCAAGGTTACGTAAGACGAACCCTATCACATTCATTTCTTCTGGCAAAACATTGGTGATATATTTCATTAAATTAATTACATTTAAAAACAAAATAATAAAAAGTCAATACACAAAGTAAAAAGCTTAAAAAAAAAAAACTTAGGGAAAAAAAAATTGGAATGTTTTTGGGTTGTAAAAATCAAATTTTAACATACGAGGATTGCAAAAGTGCCAGAACTCAGTGACAAATAAACTTGATATTTAGCCCTTTATTTTTGTTGTTTTTTTTTTTTTTTTTCAAGCTCAAATTCCAATGAATCTCTCAAATCTAACCTGCCTAAAATATGTTTTCCACAAATAAAGCCATGTTTTTTTTTAAGTTACACCTGTTTTATTTTGTGGTCATTTCTGCCTGCTGTTATCGTTTACACAAACCCTCTGAGAGATCTTTAATTTTGCTGATTGAAGATTTTCGAGTAAATTTTGGATCAACGACAATCCCGAAGCCATAAAATATTGCCATCTATAACGGGGCAGAATGTCATATTGATGCCTACCCTCTTACTGTATCGTGACACTATTGGTCCCTGCATAACATAAGTGTTAGCAATAGTACAAATAAAATTATGGTATGTTAAGTGAAAAAAGGTTTAAAAAAAAACAGACCAATATTGATTCGTGTTTGTGTTAAAATATTTATAGAGGAAATCACATCCCTCCCATCCGTATTATTGTGATGACGTCGGTAGTTGTGCAAGTGTAGAACAGCCTTTTACCGCTCACTCATTCAATCCATTTGCACATTCAACGTTTCATCCCGTTTCAACTTGCTCACCACCAAACGCAAAACCAGACTCTCCCATATAACAAACCAGGCCACCCAAATATGTGGTTGACTTCACACACCCTTGTCTGAACTGGACATCCGCTTCGGGATCAGGAAAGCCACTCTGAGGATCCCTTCCATCCCCTTCGCCAGTCATTCCAACTACTGACATCAGCCAGAAGGTACAAATTCCCACTGGCCCGGAAAAACACCTACAAAAAAATCTTTCATTCCATCTGCTTGAACCATCATGAACAATTTGAACGGATACATTGCACGTTTCAACGCACACTTTTTAACACGCACTAGTAATGTATTTAAAAAAAAAATCATGTATTTATTCCTTCATTTTTATTGTGTAAAATCTTTCTTGATGGGAATGTGTGAATGTGTTTGTGTGCCCTGTCAACGAAGAATTTCTGTCACTATCGGGAACAGACAGCGTTCGATCAATCTAGCTATCTTATCTAGCTAGCTAACTATCTCTCTAGCTAGCTAACTAGCTAGCCCTCTGTCTATCTAGCTATCTTTTTGAATCCGCGCACCTTCTTCAGCATCCCAACACCGATAGCACACCCCTACCACCTGGCTTGTAAAAAAGGACAAAAATATAAAAAGAAAAATAAGCCACTGCCAAACTAAAACCAAGAAAGAGTTAAGTTTACTGGAAATGATGATGGCGCAACCCCCTCTCCCTGGCCCACCATTGTAATTTTTGAGTTGGAAGTAAAAAATGTTTCGAGAAACATTTCACATTTTGTTGAAGAGGGGAAAAAAATAACAATTGAAAAAAAACCACAATGTTAAAATGATTCCACCAGACCGCTATGACACTTGTGTCATAGCGGTCTTGTGTGTGTGTGTGTGTGTGTGTGTGTGTGTGTGTGTGTGTGTGTGTGTGTGTGTGTGTGTG